TTTCCAACGACGGCGTCCAATCAAGTCACTACTGGCATAGATAGCTTGCGGCAGAGAGGCATCCCGCCGCCCCATCAAAAGAAGGTTAGGAGTAATGGGGTCTGGGTCTGCAATGTCTGAAGTGGCATATCCAAGCGGTTTTGAGTTGAGGATACCTTCCACTTCTATGAGGACGGTCAGCAAGACCTCCTCAGGGAGCACTCTGTCTTTAAGAACGACTTGGAGGGCTGCTTTAACAGATTTGATCTCCCTCTCCCAAATACCTCCGAAATGCGGTGCATACGGTGGATTGTATTTGAAGGTGATTCTCTGCTCAGCCAGCTGCTCTTTCAAGGCTGGCTCCAGTACCTCAAATGCTCTCTGCAGTTCTCCGTCGCCCCCCCGGAAGTTAGTGGCTCTGTCGCTTAGGATCTCGTAAGGCTTGCCTCGTCTGGCCACAAAACGTCGTAAGGCAAGTAGGAATGAGTCTGTGTCCATACTGCACAAGAGGTCAAGGTGCACACATCTTGTTGTCAAACATTTGAAAATTATGCCCCACCTCTTCTCTTGTCTGCGACCTATTTTGACAGCATATGGTCCAAAACAGTCGATTCCTGTGGACCAATAAGGAGGTTTATGTAAGCGAAGGCGTGCATCTGGAAGGTCTGCCATACGTGGTACAGTGGGTTTGTTGCGCCATCTTTGGCACTCTGCACAGCTGCGTTGGTGCTTCTTTACAGCTTGGCGCCTACGGAGGATCCAATATGTCCGCCTTACTTCTGCGAACACACGTTCGGGACCAGGGTGCAGCAACTCGGTGTCGTAGTGTTGTATCAGCAGCCGGGTAGCAGGATGGTCAGGCGCTAGGACAATAGGATGTATCATGTCCGGAGAGCCTTCTACCTTCCTCAACCGACCACCAACACGCACCAAGCCCACCGCACTGTCATATTCTGGGCAAAGAGAAAGCAGACGACTGTTATTACTGAGTGGCTTACCTGTCTGCAGAGCAGCGACCTCTGCAGCGAAGCTCTCCTCCTGCGCTCGTCTGAGAACTGCAACTTCAGTCTCAATGCGGGCAGAGGCAGTCATCGGAGGAGCAGCCGCCCCGTGTAGGGACAGGTATGTCGCTTGGACCAGTTCAGACCAGGAGTTATATTGAGTCGGGTCTGGAGCTGTGGGCGTGGCCGTCACAAGACCACAAAAGGTCACGTCTCGGCTCTCTTCTGGTGGAACAGAGGCCGTAGCGGGCTTAACTGGCCATTCCCTGTGGGGCTGATACAGGAAACAAGGCCCACAGGTCCAGCGGCTGGGTTTTGCCAAGTCACTAAGATGTTTGCCACGCGTGGCATCATCAGCAGCATTGTCATTGGTTGGAACATAGCGCCAATTGTCCGCACCCACCAGCTCCTGAATTTCAGCAACACGAGTCCCTACAAACACTTTGTACTGCTGTGACTCTGACTGGATCCAATGGAGGACAGTAGTTGAATCTGTCCACAGTGTTGTAGTTTTCAACGGCAGCGTTAGTTCTGTTTGGATGACCTTTGCTAACTGAGCACCAGCCAGAGCGGCGCACAGTTCCAATCGAGGGATGGAGAGCTGCTTCTTTGGGGCTACTCGGGACCTGGCCAGAACAAAGGACACTTGCAATGCACCTGTAAAGTCATGCTATGCCCTCAAATATGCAACTGCACCATATGCTCTCTCTGAGGCGTCTGTGAAGATGTGCAACTCCAGTGGCGTATCAGCTGGGACATTTGAGAGGTAACATCGGGGTATTGTCACATGCTGCAGCTGAGGTAGTTCACTCTCCCATGCCTGCCACACCGGAAGGAGCTCATCTGTGATTGGCTCATCCCAGTCTCGGCCTTTCTTCCACAGCGCTTGAACCAGCACCTTAGCACGGGTTGTGTAGGGAATAAGAAAGCCGAGTGGGTCATATTGGCTGGCCAGCACACGGTACACATACCTCAGAGTGGGTTGAGCAAGAGGAATAGCTCTATGTCTGTAACTGAGTGCGTCTGTGCTGCAGTTCCACAGAAGGCCCAGAGTAGACTCGAGAGGGTCTTCTTTATGAGCATTGAGCCATAACTCACAGGTGGCAGACTTTGCTTCAGCTGGCAGATGAGAGACAACATCAGGTACATTGGAGGACCACTGACGCATGTCAAAGCCTCCCTGGGCAAGGAGAGCTCTGAGCCTGTCGATGAGCTGTTTGGCCTGCTCTGGAGAGGGCAAGGACTGCAGGCAGTTGTCCACATACATAGATTGCAGCACTGTATTAACGATATCCTCATTACCCTCACTGTAGTCCTGGACGTGGCGCTGTAGTGCATATATAGCACAACATGGGCTGCATGTCGTACCAAAGGGTAACACACGCCACTCGTAGACATCAGGACTGCGCTCTCTGTCTCCATCTCTCCACAGGAAACGAAGCAGTGGTTGATCTTGTGGGAGGAGCCTCACTTGATGGAACATGCCTCGAATATCACCGTTGATGGCCACAGTATATTCCCTGAAACGCAGAAGCACTGCAAGGAGTGAAGAACCGAGAGTCGGGCCTGGCATGAGGTTCTTATTAAGGCAGGCCTGTTGATGCACAAAAGAACAGTTAAAAACAACTCTGGATTTATTATTGTGGAAAACGAGATGGTGTGGCAGGAACCATGACTCGTCTGAGTTGTTTACTTCTTCTGGACTGATTTTCACTGCATAACCTGATCTGACTAGTTTGTCCATTTCTTCATTGTAAATAAGCAATTGTTCAGGATTATGTGTGAGGCGGCGCTCGGTGGCTCTAAGGAGAGGCATGACTGCATTAGGTGAAGCCAATAGGTGAGATGCATTTTCCTTTCGCAGGAGGGGGACTGCATATCGACTCACACCATCTACTGTGACCCTAACACTCTAGTGTTAGTTGTTCTAGTGCTGCTTTGTCTTCTCCAGAGCGAGTGACCTCTTTGGTGGAACGAAAGGGCAGTGAATCCAATTGCCACAGTCGTTCCACATGTTGATGTAGCTCCTCTGCAGGGGACAGAACTGATACGTGCAGGCAGCTGCTGTCACGAGGAGATTGTTGGAGGAAGCTGGCTGGTCCCTGCACTGCCCATCCCAGGGCTGTGCACACAGCGACAGGACCACCAATGGGGCCAGATATGACAGGTTTCTTTGGAATGATGAGATGTGGGTTGTCTGATCCAATGAGAATCAGTGGTTGGATTTTATTAAAGGACGACAGCGGAACGTCCCTTAAATGTCTGTAGCCTCTCTGGAGATGCTCAGGGGAACAGGATTGCTCAGCCAGATTCAACTCTGCAGCTGTAAACGCGTTGTGAACCTTGAATCTCAGTCCATTCTTTGTTGGGGATGACACTTGGAATGACACAGTGGCACCTTTAATTTGGACTACTTCCTGTCTTATTGTCCTTAGAGAGAGTACTTCAGGCTGTTGTTGGAGATCAAGCTGTTGAACGGCAGCAGGCAGGATAACAGTGCGCTCAGAGCCGTCATCCAACACTGCATGTGTGTCCATATATTTACTCCCATTGTATATGCGGACTGGCACTACTTTTAACATCACTCTGCCTGAGTGACTGGCTTGATCGACGAATACCATACTTGAGGTAGTGTTAACAGTCAGGATGCTCTCTGCCTGAGCCACATCATGCAGCACAGGAAGATGTTGTTCTCCGCAGGTAGAACAAGGCTTCTTTAATGTGCAGTTAGCTGGAGAATGTCCTCGGCCACACCTCCAACATTTCTTATTGTCCTTTATCCAAGCTGCCCTGGCTGGATTTGAGAGCTTGGTGAAGTCATCACACCCGTTGAGGTAGTGCTCCTGATTGCAGCAGTAGGGACAGTATGGTTTGAATCTATCCCTCTTCTTTGCTTGCTGTGCACTAGGGGAAGCTAGGCGTGTGACTGTGGGCTGAGTTGATTCATTACTGCCAAACAATACAGCTGTAGACTTGGGCTTCTGTGTTTTGACTGCCCTCCTCTCCACACTACTGGTGTCGTATGAATGTGTCCCTATTCTACGGGATACCTGTAGGGTCTGCACTTTCCTCTCTAGCCACTCAGCTAGGTCTGGTAGCGTGTATGTCCTGTCACTGCCACTCTGAATAATACCCCTGCTGAAACAGTACTCAGCAAAGGAATCTCTTAAGTACGGGGGTAGTTTTGTGAGCAGTGTGTCAACATGGGAACCACATTGCAACTCAGATGATGATGGGCCCTGCATAGAACTTAACATGCCTACCAGTGTGCTAACAGCTGCAGAAAAATCCTCCATGCCCTGGTAATCACCCGCTTTAACTGGGGGTGCGGTCAGGATGGATTTGAGCTCTGCCTGCACTAGCTGTCTAGGCTGACCATAACGCTGCTGAAGAGCTAACATAGCACTAGAGTAAGGAGTGGAGCTGTTTATGTATCTCTTTGCTATCTGCAAAGCGGCAGGGAATTTCAAATGATCCAAGAGGACTTGGTATTTGTAATCCTCAGTTAGATGGCTGTGGGGGCTGAGCACACTGTCTAAACCTTTTTTGAGTAACAGAAAATCACTCTCCTTCCCTGAACTGAATGCAGAAAGCTTAGGCTTGGGGATGCCGTATGAGGAGGCAATAGCCATTTCCACCATGCTAGGGACATTAGCACTGACAGGGGGAGGAGCTAAATATGGCTGGCTGACAGGTGCTGTAGGCATACGAGTGCTGTTTGGAGTATATGCATTGGGATACGCATACTGCTGTCTACTATGTGGATAATAGACAGGTGCACTATATGGATGTGAGGGAGCAGGTGCGCTGTAGGGCGTGCCTTGAGGAGCAACTACATGCGGTGCAACTACACTTCTGTGTGAGGTGTCGTACAGAGGGGGCAACAGAGCTGCTTGAGCGGGATCTACTGGAGGAGGAGGCGGTGGCCAGTACTCACCGGTCTCTGCTCCCTGGACTATACCTGCTGTGTAGTTTGGAGGCACTGCTGGTAGTAAAGGAGCTGTCACTGGTGCTGAAACACTAGCTTGCCCTGTCGGGGGAGGATGCTGCACAGGAGCTATGGGTGACAAAGGTACTATGGGGGAAGAATGCCCTGAACGTTTCTGATGCATGCCATGACTGAAGAGGCTGGAGCTGTGGCATGCTGCTGTACTGCTGTTCCTGGGCATATCTATGCTTGGCAGGTTGGGCGCTTTGTGTCAGCCGAACGTTGCTCATTTCCGTCTGAAGTTCCCTCATTTGTCGACCGAGTGCCTGATAAGCTGACGCCAAATGCTGAATTCTGTCTTCATCATCATCATGAGAGGATGAAGTTGACCAGCTCTCGGGGCTTTGTGGTGGACGTTGGAATGAAAAGCCAACCTCATAGTCCTCCAGATGTCCGGGAATGCGACGCACTCTGCTGGGACGGGGACTGTGTAGTGGCTGCTCATCATAAAAGTCTCTGGATGCGGCCATGACGCAGCTCTTGGACATCCGGCTCGAAGGACCACTTGTAAAAGATTATATTGTATTTGAATGCTGGGGTCCAAAAGTCCGGCCTAAGTCTTCGGCAAGAAAGACTGCAGCAGATCCAGAGTAGTAGAATGAAAGGTTTATTGCAGCTTGAACAGGTTGGGATGGATGCGTGAAACAAGAGCGTGTGTGTGTGTGTGTGTGTGTGGTTATATAGTCATTAAACGCCCAACAACACGATGTGAGAAAGCTAAGAGAGAGCACGCTCTTCACTCGTTGCCCTCCTACAGCAGACTGCCCACCTGGACTCCTGTGCGCATGTCAGTGAGGGGCGAACTGTTCTTAAAGGTACAGTGTCATTGAAGCAGGGAAATTTGCACAATAATGTAATTATAAAAATAAATTAAAAATATCAAAATTAAATGGAAAACAAAAATGAATCAGATCAAAAATAAATAAAACAGTAAAATAAATAAATGGTCAAAACAAAAACAAAAATAACAATGAAATAGCTCCTACCATCCTCATCAACAATAACTGCAACAGAAAAAATGATATAATATTTGCATTGTCCAAATGTATATATCTTCAGTGCTTACTGATGTATTTACTAACCCAGAACACAATAATAGTAATAATAAAATAAAAAACACACCAACCAAAAAAAATAGATTGGGATATTGCTCAAAAGAAAAAAGTCCGAGCACCCGTGCATGTACACATTGTAAACGTAATATCACACCACATTTTAACTAGAAGAGAACAAATTATTGCACCAATGAATAGAACCAAACCTGCTCATTATCAAATGTAGAGTTTGTCCATCAAAACAGGTCGTTTAAGCAGACTGTGGGTCCACCATGGTCTTGAGGTTTTTCTTCACAAAGTCCATAGCCAAATCAGGACTGTCAAACATGCGAAGCTGTCCATTGGGAAGTGTTATTCTCAGTGATGCTGGGAAGAAAAGTCCAAACTTTATCCTTGGACAGGAGTGAAGTTCTTTCTTCACATCGTTGAATGCGCTTCTTTGCCACAATGGCCGTAAAATCAGGGAAAATAAACACACGTTTTCCCTGATAGTTTAGGGCAGGTGACTCACGGGCTTTGCGGATAATTTCATTCCTTGTCTGGAACTGGTTGACACGAACTACGAAGGGCCGCGGCGGGGCTCCGTCTCCGGGTCTGGGCCGCAGAGTCCGATGCGCCCGATCGAGGCGAAGTAGATTGTGAAGAAAATCGACCACAAATTCTGTTGGGCGAGGGCCCTCTGTGCCTTCCACAACACCAACAATTCGGATATTATTGAGTCTGGAGCGTCCCTCTAGTTCGTCACATTTATTCGTCAGTAGCTCAACTTTTCCCTGAAGTTGGCTAACAGAGGCCTGTATGCTAGTAAGCCTCTGTTCATGGTCGTTTGCAGCTCCTTCCAAGTCGGATATGGCAGACGCATATGTCCCGAGCCAGCGAGCCCCCCACGGAGCACAGCGGCATCTCTGCATCCGGTCAGCCCCCCCTGTTCTCTCATAAATATGTGTCTATGCATGAGGGCCAGAAGAAAGGACTCAGGGATATAAATCTCTATTCTTTAATACATTTTTGGCCCATTAGTTAGAACGGCGGAGATAGGCGTGACTACGTCCGTTAATATATACAGACTATGTGAGGACCCTTTTCTGTTACTTTGATTTTAAATCTGACTTGTATATTATTTTCTTCTGTATGTTTTTTAAATGTGAAGCGCTTTGTGATCCTGGTCTGTGAAAGGTGCTATACAAATACACTTGACTTGCTAACTCGGTAAATCTGTGGCCGACCCTGCGCTGTGTAGATCCGCACATGTTTTGCCTCATTCACCTCTGGCAAAGCAATGTGTTTTTTTCCATAGTGTTGCTCAAAACTGTCTCCGCCCCTGTCCTGTAAACTGCATGTAGCCAGTTTATAGATAGGATGGCGACGCGCTTATCTGTTGGAACAGGCACAAGTATAGCTCTGCTGGGAAGTGCACAGCAGGTGCCAGGACAGGTCCCACTGCATCACTTCTCAAATGTGGTGCGCGCCATTGAGACGTGTTGGATCCAGAGATTCTCTGTGAAATCACGGACACTTTCCAAAAGCTTTTCATACGCATTTTTCTCTCTCACAGAGATCGCTCAGACGCTTCACCCGGTTCATGATGAGAGCCACCGTAGAGGCCGAGATATTAACATTCATTCATCATTTATTTATTTATTTCTTTACTTCTAAAGTTGAAGAGAGATGAGAGCTGGAGTGGGTCTAGACACTAGGGAAAATACGTGTATATATAATATAGCGTATATTTATTTTAAACAAACATGAATAAACTCAGGAGTGTGTGGCAAAGGCTTTTTGAGGCTTCCAACAGTCTTTTGGCCGACCTCCTGTTGTCGTAAAAACATGGCGTGAAACGAGCGGTTTCTGAATATTTACAGGCGTGACTTTCATAAATACACTAGTTTTCACCGCAGCATTTATGAACAGCAGAAGGTGCTCGGATCTGGATCTCACACGTTCATAAATCCCACCGTGGATCTGCTCCACCAAAAATATATACACCCTTAAGTGTTGTGTGTAACAAGTGTTGTGTGTAACAAGTGTTGTGTGTAACAAGTGTTGTGTGTAACAAGTGTCGTGTGTAACGAGTGTTGTGTGTAACAAGTGTTGTGTGTAACAAGTGTTGTGTGTAACAAGTGTCGTGTGTAACAAGTGTTGTGTGTAACAAGTGTTGTGTGTAACAAGTGTCGTGTGTAACAAGTGTCGTGTGTAACAAGTGTTGTGTGTAACAAGTGTTGTGTGTAACAAGTGTTGTGTGTAACAGTGTCGTGTGTAACAAGTGTTGTGTGTAACAAGTGTTGTGTGTAACAAGTGTTGTGTGTAACAAGTGTCGTGTGTAACAAGTGTTGTGTGTAACAAGTGTTGTGTGTAACAAGTGTTGTGTGTAACAGTGTCGTGTGTAACAAGTGTTGTGTGTAACAAGTGTTGTGTGTAACAAGTGTCGTGTGTAACAAGTGTTGTGTGTAACAAGTGTTGTGTGTAACAAGTGTTGTGTGTAACAAGTGTTGTGTGTAACAAGTGTCGTGTGTAACGAGTGTTGTGTGTAACAAGTGTTGTGTGTAACAAGTGTTGTGTGTAACAAGTGATGTGTGTAACAAGTGTTGTGTGTAACAAGTGTTGTGTGTAACAAGTGTTGTGTGTAACAAGTGTCGTGTGTAACAAGTGTTGTGTGTAAGTTCACCCTGGTAGACCCTGGTAGACCCTGGTAGACCCTGGTAGACCCTGGTAGACCCTGGTAGACCCTGGTAGACCCTGGTAGACCCTGGTAGACCCTGGTAGACCCGGCTGCTGCTGCCCAGCTCCTCCAGGCCTGCTCTCATCCATCGCACAGCAACACCCACTTCCAGTCAACCAATAACCGCCAGGCCAGGGTGTTAAAAGCCGGAGACGCCCACTTCCCGGCCTTCTCAAGCTTTGCATTAGTGATGGGTTGATGAAGCTTCATGAAGTGTTGAACCTTTTCATCCATTGGTTCGAGAAAAGGTTCATTTCTTGATGCTTCATATGCTCACAAACCTCCTGTTGGTCAAAATCTGTATTGACAATTGAACTGTTAGTGAGGCTCTTGGTGCATTGGAATTAATACTGGTAACAGAAATAATAATGTAATTTGATTGTGTATGACCCATTAATTAATCTGTTTCATTATGATCAATATCAGTAGTGAAAATGAATATATTTTAAATGACAATAAAATTATAATGTACTGGTAACTGGTACAGTTGTCTGCTCTAATACACACACACACACACACACATATATAGATATATATTTATATACATGTTTAATGATGAATGATTATAGCTTGTCAAGTCAAAATCAATGTTATAAATCCAATAGGACAAAAAACATGTTGAAAGTGTAAGTGCTTTTCAAAGGACGTGAGACAAATGGGGATATCAATTGGAATTGTGACCCCATCAGTTGTTTAAAACCAAAACATTTCTGACAATATTCTTTCCCGTGTATTTACGTCAACGTGCTCCCTGTGAGATTCGAACCCCGGTCCCCCAGGTCCAAGCACTGCTTCCCTATCGATTGAGCCAACCAGCTGATACTACAGTACTCTCCATCACTGACTACATTAATCACCAAGACAAACACACAGTTTGAGCGGATCCTCTGCAGTACTTCATGAATCGCTCCATTTCCTGTGCTCCCGAGGCTTCAAACGTCATTAGTGACGTCACTCATCTAAAACAACTCAGGCTTCGGCCCGCGCTCCGATAAAAACTTGAGGGATTTCTCGGCTCACGCCCCGAAGCGCCGACGCGGCACGACCCATCACTACTTTGCATGCGTTGTTTTGGAGGGGTCGCTTTTCTGCTCACGTGTTGCTCGTGTGACCCGGCTGTTCTCAGTCTGGCTGCTTGTGGTCTGCTCCTCCTCCGCCTCCCTGCACCTGCTGCGGATCGCGCGCTGTGGCCCGTGTGTCTCCGCAATGGGAGGAATGCATATTAAATGGCATAGGTCACTAGTATTAAATGATTAGGTAAAACTACATCATGTTGCATTTGACGGCGCAGCAGAAAGTAAAAGGGCCCAATGTGAATCTGCAATGAGTGTGAAGTGGAATTGGAGCTAATGAACAGATAGAAAAGTTAATGTATATTGGCTTAACCAATACCATTAACCAATTCCGAACGCGCACTCAGTTTTTGTTCCAGAGACGAATGTGTCCGAAGCGGCGCTGAAAGAGATCCATGGAGGGGGACGACGTCGGCGATCTCAGCAGCATGCAACCGGCACGTGTGTTTTGTTTGTATCCACGGGCGGGACTCTCGCAAAATCTCGCACTTCCACTTCCAGCCCTGTAGGTCTGCATGCGGTCTATTTTAGCCCCGTGCACTGGTCTGCAGGCCCTGTGCAGGTCTGCAGGCTCCGTTCTAGCCCCGCGGACTGGTCTGCAGGCTCCGGTTTGGCCCCGCACACTGGTCTGCAGGCTCCATTTTGGCCCCTCACACTGGTCTGCAGGCTCCATTTTGGCCCCTCACACTGGTCTGCAGCGCATTGGTTTGCTAGTTGCCAGTTTCAACCCCGTGCGTCAGACTGCGGGCTCTCTGTTTAACCCTGTACGTTGGTCTGCAGGCTCTGCTTTAACCCCGCGCGTCGGACTGCAGGCTGTCGGGGTTACGTCTCGTCGCTTCGGCTTCCCGCTCCATGTTGGTCTTCCCTGCCCCCTTCAGGACCCGTGCTGGTGGCATTGTTCTCCTCCCCGCATGTCTCTGCGGTTCGGGGTCCCTGGACTGCTCCCCCCGGTTTTGCAGCCATGCCGTTCTGTGCTCATCAGTCGTGGGCCTTGCCTCGGGTAGGCTGTATTGCTGCCCAGTTGGTGCCTTCGCCCTCCCACCTAGGTACCTGCAGGGGCCTCTCCTGTCTGTATTTGCTCGCTGGCTGGTGGCTCGCGTCCGCTTCGTGGGCACCTGCCGTACGGCCGTTGGCGGCTGCTTCCGGGCATTCTCCGCAGACTGCTTCTCGGGATACCTGCGCTGCGCTCTCGCCGCCAGGGTGGCTCGCGCTTCGCCTTACTGGACTCTCTCGGGCCCTGTCCAGGCCGGGCCCCCCTCGTGCACCGCTGTTTTGGGGTTCTGGAGATCTCATACTAACAGTCAATCCCTCCTTATCATTCAGTGTCATTCATAAATCTTTTCTGTTCCAGTCTCCTCGGGCAGGATCCAGTTCAAACCTCAGCGCACAAACTGCAAGCAGTAACCAGGCTTCCTTCCCTCATTGCTGCTCCATTCTCCTCCCTGGTCATCGGTATCTCAGCCGTGCCGTCACTGCACCATGGCTATCTAGCAGCTCTCTCCCGACAACCTCCCCATGACGGCTAACTGGTCCGGAGCCTAAACTCAAATCCATACTAAATAGATGCAGAGCTGTGCTGAGCTGTCTCGCACCATGCTCTCAGGTACGCTTCGGCTGTCACGCCTCATCTCTCTGCTTTATTCTCTGCTTCTATCAGGTGCAGCTGGCCGAGTAGCTGTGCTGAGCTGTCCTCGCTCCGAGCCGTCAAACTCCTCATCAAGGCTCCTCACTCTTCTGATCGCAGGCCCCCATCACGCTGCCCATCCTGCAGCTGCTCTGCGCGGCACTGAACTCCGGTTCATTTTCCAAGTACACATCTGCCCTCCTACGCAGCGTCTTCCTGCTCGCCTTCTACGACTTTCTCCGCATAAGCGAGTTCCCTACTGCTCACTCAACTTCAATGCGGCCTGAGACACTGCTTTTCCCGACCTGTCCTACTATCCTGATTATTTAATCTCCACCTCAAGAATTCTAAGCGTAAGGGCGCCTGCAACATAATAGCTCGCTCCGACACATCTCTCTGCCCCTACAGGTCCATGACGCGTTACTCGCCTCCGCTGTCAAAAAGGAGATTTTAATGGACCTTTATTTCTCACTCCAGACAAACTTCCGATGACAGCAACCTGGTTCAGAGCTCAGCAAGATCCCTATTTCTCCTCCGTAATTTGTCTCCCCAGCTCTACACAGCCCACTCTTTCAGGACAGGCGCTGCCACGTGCGCGGCCTCGCTGGGGCTTCCCCATTCTTCTCTGCAACAGCTGGGGGCGCTGGTCTTCGTCGGCTCTCTCCGCCAACATCAGGCCAGATGCAACCGTCATCATTGCAGCACAGAGACTAGTGGCTTCCTCATAAACTCCCAGTAAGCAAAGCAGGCAAGCATAAGCATAAGACTCCTGGTGGCGGCACGCACTCACCTCAACGCTCTCCCCCTGCTCCTAGTTTGCAGCGTCTGGTCGAACATGATGGACTGTGCTGGACTCGCGCTCTACTCCCCGGAGTGGGTGCTGAGCAGCCCTGCGCTCATGTTCTCAGCTCGCTCAGGCCCCGCATCTCTGCCCCAAACAGATGCAAGCTCCCAGCAGACGCAGCCTGGCTGAGCGACCGTGCGAGAAGCCTCGCACTCATGCTCTCAGGCCTGCGCAGTGCGTCCTGCTATCCCATCGCAGTCCCGCATCTTTGGGGGATTATGCGCGCGAGCAAGCGCCGCGCTCAACAGTATCGCTCCGGGACCTAGGGCGCCAAACATGCTTAATCAAATAAAACTTATAATTGCATTCCCTGTTGTGGGTCTCTCCAGGATGAAATTAAGCTTTGCGCAAGGTCACCCTGGTAGACCCGGCCTGCTGCTGCCCAGCTCCTCCAGGCCTGCTCTCATCCTCGGCTCATTGCACAGCAAAGCCCACTTCCAGTCAACCAATAACCGCCAGGCCAGCGTGTTACAAGCCGGAGACGCCCACTTCCCGGCCTTCTCAAGCTTTGTATCCTCCGCCAGAGCCACACTGTTGTGTGTAGTAAGTGTTACATAAACCTGTGTGAACGGTGGATAAATAACATCTGTTCTGATGTAGAAATGTAAATGAGATAAAACCTTCTTATCAACAGTGTCCTCGGCCGTGAGCAGTCAGAGAGGTTAAAACCAGCTGCAGCTCCACACTCCTCCTCAGACCTCCACAGACCACAGACCTCCACAGACCTCCACAGATCTCCTCAGACCTCCACAGACCTCCTCACTCCTCCACAGACCTCCACAGACCTCACTCCTCTAGTGGACCATGGGCACGGCTGGTTTCCTGGTGCTGCTGCTGAGTTCCTCTTTTCTCTTTGAGGGGAATTGTTTGGATGATTCTGGACAAAAGTCTGAGTCTTCTGAGCTCTGTACGTCTGACATTGAGTCAGTGCTGAGACAGATGAGCGCTGCTCTGTCTGCACAGCAGGTGGAGATCAGACATCTGCAGGAGGAGAACAAACATCTGCTGCTGGAGAACAAGGGTAAGTATCTTCTGAATCATGTGTTGAACATAGTTTAATGCAGCCATGGATAAGTTGTGTTTGTGTTCCATGTTTAAACATGGGCCTATATTTAACCAGGAAAGTCTCAGAGATTTCAGAATGTCATTTTCAGGGGTGTCCCGGCCCCAACTTGCAGACACCAGTGTTCATTTTATTTACAGATGAAAATAAGAAATAAATGACTAGTGTTTGCAAGTAAAGTGCAAGAGTTGTTTTTCTTCCTTTTGAAGTTGACAGAGCTGTGTGCGCAGCTCTGACAGTTTTATTTCCTCTACAGCCACGAGGACAGAAGTGGTCTCCCTCCAAACAGAAGTGGTCTCCCTCCAAACAGAAGTGGTCTCCCTCCAAACAGAAGTGGACTCCCTCCAAACAGAAGTGGACTCCCTCCAAACAGAGGTGGTCTCCCTCCAAAACAACGACAAAGGTTTGTTGATATAAAAGTGTTGTTCAGACCTGGAGGCGTTGGCTCTAACTCTGTCTGTGTGGAATCAGCTCAAGAGGCTGCACTGGAGCGTCTGCAGACCAGCTCCTCTGTCACTGAACACAAAGTGGAAGCTCTGACTCACGACAAAACAGGTACAAACACATCCTTTAGTCTGCTTTAGTCTGCTTTAGTCTACTTTAGTCTCCTTTAGTCTGCTTTTGTCTCCTTTAGTCTCCTTTAGTCTGCTTTAGTCTCCTTTAGTCTGCTTTAGTCTCCTTTAGTCTGCTTTAGTCTCCTTTAGTCTCCTTTAGTCTGATTTAGTCTCCTTTAGTCTGCTTTAGTCTCCTTTAGTCTGCTTTAGTCACCTTTAGTCTCCTTTAGTCACCTTTAGTCTGCTTTAGTCTCCTTTAGTCTGCTTTAGTCTCCTTTAGTCTGCTTTAGTCTGCTTTAGTCACCTTTAGTCTGCTTTAGTCTGCTTTAGTCACCTTTAGTCTCCTTTAGTCACCTTTAGTCTGCTTTAGTCTCCTTTAGTCTGCTTTAGTCACCTTTAGTCTGCTTTAGTCTGCTTTAGTCTGCTCTAGTCTACTTTAGTCACCTTTAGTCACCTTTAGTCTGCTTTATTCTGCTTTAGTCACCTTTAGTCTGCTTTAGTCTGCTTTAGTCTGCTCTAGTCTACTTTAGTCACCTTTAGTCTGCTTTAGTCTCCTTTAGTCTGCTTTAGTCTACTTTAGCCACCTTTAGTCACATTTAGTCTGCTTTAGTCTGCTTTAGTCTCCTTTAGTCTGCTTTAGTCTGCTTTAGTCACCTTTAGTCTCCTTTAGTCACCTTTAGTCTGCTTTAGTGTCCTTTAGTCTGCTTTAGTCTCCTTTAGTCTGCTTTAGTCTGCTTTAGCCTGCTTTAGTCTGCTTTAGTCTCCTTTAGTCTGCTTTAGTCTGCTTTAGTCTCCTTTAGTCTCCTTTAGTCTGCTTTAGTCTGCTTTAGTCTCCTTTAGTCTCCTTTACTCTGCTTTAGTCTGCTTTAGTCTCCTTTAGTCTGCTTTAGTCTCCTTTAGTCTGCTTTAGTCTCCTTTAGTCTGCTTTAGTCTCCTTTAGTCTCCTTTAGTCTGCTTTAGTCTGCTTTAGTCTCCTTTACTCTGCTTTAGTCTGCTTTAGTCTCCTTTAGTCTGCTTTAGTCTCCTTTAGTCTGCTTTAGTCTGCTTTAGTCTCCTTTAGTCTGCTTTAGTCTCCTTTAGTCTGCTTTAGTCTGCTTTAGTCTCCTTCAGTCTCCTTTAGTCTGCTTTAGTCTCCTTCAGTCTGCTTTAGTCTCCTTTAGTCTGCTTTAGTCTCCTTTAGTCTCCTTTAGTCTGCTTTAGTCTCCTTTAGTCTGCTTTAGTCACCTTTAGTCTGCTTTAGTCTGCTTTAGTCTGCTCTAGTCTACTTTAGTCACCTTTAGTCTGCTTTAGTCTCCTTTAGTCTCCTTTAGTCTGCTTTAGTCTGCTTTAGTCTACTTTAGCCACCTTTAGTCACCTTTAGTCTGCTTTAGTCTGCTTTAGTCTCCTTTAGTCTGCTTTAGTCTGCTTTAGTCACCTTTAGTCTCCTTTAGTCACCTTTAGTCTGCTTTAGTCTCCTTTAGTCTGCTTTAGTCTCCTTTAGTTTGCTTTAGTCTGCTTTAGCCTGCTTTAGTCTGCTTTAGTCTCCTTTAGTCTGCTTTAGTCTGCTTTAGTTTCCTTTAGTCTGCTTTAGTCTGCTTTAGCCTGCTTTAGTCTCCTTTAGTCTGCTTTAGTCTCCTTTAGTCTGCTTTAGCCTGCTTTAGCCTGCTTTAGTCTGCTTTAGTCTCCTTTAGTCTCCTTTACTCTGCTTTAGTCTGCTTTAGTCTCCTTTAGTCTGCTTTAGTCTCCTTTAGTCTGCTTTAGTCTCCTTTAGTCTGCTTTAGTCTCCTTTAGTCTCCTTTAGTCTGCTTTAGTCTGCTTTAGTCTCCTTTAGTCTCCTTTACTCTGCTTTAGTCTCCTTTAGTCTCTTTTAGTCTCCTTTAGTCTGCTTTAGTCTCTTTTAGTCTGCTTTTAGTCTCCTTTAGTCTGCTTTAGTCTCCTTTAGTCTCCTTTAGTCTCCTTTAGTCTCCTTTACTCTGCTTTAGTCTGCTTTAGTCTCCTTTAGTCTGCTTTAGTCTCCTTTAGTCTGCTTTAGTCTCCTTTAGTCTGCTTTAGTCTGCTTTAGTCTCCTTTAGTCTGCTTTAGTCTCCTTTAGTCTCCTTTAGTCTGCTTTAGTCTCCTTTAGTCTCCTTTAGTCTGCTTTAGTCTGCTTTAGTCTCCTTTAGTCTGCTTTAGTCTCCTTTAGTCTGCTTTAGTCTCCTTTAGTCTGCTTTAGTCTCCTTTAGTCTGCTTTAGTCTGCTTTAGCCTGTTTTAGTCTCCTTTAGTCTGCTTTAGCCTGCTTTAGTCTGCTTTAGTCTCCTTTAGTCTGCTTTAGTCTCCTTTAGTCTGCTTTAGTCTGCTTTAGTCTCCTTTAGTCTGCTTTAGTCTCCTTTAGTCTCCTTTAGTCTGCTTTAGTCTCCTTTAGTCTGCTTTAGCCTGTTTTAGTCTGCTTTAGCCTGCTTTAGTCTGCTTTAGTCTGCTTTACTTTAGTTAGACAACAAAGTCGATGATTGACTTTGTTGTCTAACGACTTTGAGAGAAAGAGAAAAAACAATAGATTGGTTTAATTTTTTAATCTTCTTTTCCAAATCAACAATCCTAGTTTGTGATTTGAACTTTACAAATATAAACAGACAAAAAAATACTAAAGAATGATTTTATTATTCTCCTGCTTTTTATAATTATATAATATTAATATTTATAATGATGTCATAGTAATGTTTATAATGATGTCATAGTAATATTTATAATGATGTCATAGTAATATTTATAATGATGTCATAGTAATGTTTATAATGATGTCATAGTAATGTTTATAATGATGTCATAGTAATGTTTATAATGATGTCATAGTAATGTTTATAATTATGTCATAGTAATATTTATAATGATGTCATAGTAATGTTTATATTCAGACTGTTCAGTTCAGTTCCACCTCTGGTTCCACCTCTGGTTCCACCTCTGGTCCCACCTCTGGTTCCACCTCTGGTCCCACCTCTGGTTCCACCTCTGGTTTCACCTCTGGTCCCCCACCTCTGGTTCCACCTCTGGTCCCACCTCTGGTTCCACCTCTGGTTTCACCTCTGGTCCCCCACCTCTGGTTCCCCCACCTCTGGTTCCCCCACCTCTGGTTCCACCTCTGGTTCCTCTGTTGCAGTGAGGCAGGTGGCCTTCTCTACAGCTCTGATGGAGTCTGGATCTCAGGACATTTGGTCCTTATAACACTGACACTACACTGGTCTACAAACATGTGATCACCAACACTGGGAACGCCTACAACCCAAACACAGGTGTGTACTGTTGTGTGTACTGTGTGTGTATGTTGTGTGTACTGTGTGTATTGTTGTGTGTATTGTTGTGTGTATTGTTGTGTGTATGTTGTGTGTACTGTGTGTAATGTTGTGTGTATGTTGTGTGTACTGTTGTGTGTATGTTGTGTGTACTGTGTGTAATGTTGTGTGTATGTTGTGTGTACTGTGTGTAATGTTGTGTGTATGTTGTGTGTACTGTGTGTAATGTTGTGTGTATGTTGTGTGTAATGCAGGGATTAAAGCGTTCTGTCTAGGTGACGGATTTCCGTCAAATGAAATTGGTCTGAAAAAAATATATATAATAATAATAGACACAATGAAACGGCTGATCATACAACATTACACACGTATATGTATTACTGTATATATCTGTTATATAATACATATATAATAATAATTTGAATATAATTGTATTTATATGTGTATAGAAATAGTCTGTGGCCTGAGTCTGTGACCTGAGTCTGTGACCTGAGTCTGTGGCCTGAGTCTGTGACCTGAGTCTGTGACCTGAGTCTGTGGCCTGAGTCTGTGACCTGAGTCTGTGACCTGAGTCTGTGACCTGAGTCTGTGGCCTGAGTCTGTGACCTGAGTCTGTGGCCTGAGTCTGTGGCCTGAGTCTGTGGCCTGAGTCTGTGACCTTAGTATGTGGCCTGAGTCTGTGACCTGAGTCTGTGGCCTGAGTCTGTGGCCTGAGTCTGTGACTTGAGTCTGTGACCTGAGTCTGTGACCTGAGTCTGTGGCCTGAGTCTGTGGCCTGAGTCTGTAGCCAGTCTGTGGCCTGAGTCTGTGGCCTGAGTCTGTGACCTGAGTCTGTGACCTAAGTCTGTGGCCCGAGTCTGTGGCCCGAGTCTGTGACCTGAGTCTGTGACCTGAGTCTGTGGCCCGAGTCTGTGGCCTGAGTCTGTGACCTGAGTCTGTGGCCTGAGTCTGTGGCCTGAGTCTGTGGCCTGAGTCTGTGACCTTAGTCTGTGACCTGAGTCTGTGACCTGAGTCTGTGGCCTGAGTCTGTGGCCTGAGTCTGTGACCTGAGTCTGTAACCAGTCTGTGGCCTGAGTCTGTGGCCTGAGTCTGTGACCTGAGTCTGTGACCTGAGTCTGTGGCCTGAGTCTGTGGCCTGAGTCTGTGACCTGAGTCTGTGACCTGAGTCTGTAGCCAGTCTGTGGCCTGAGTCTGTGGCCTGAGTCTGTGGCCTGAGTCTGTGGCCTGAGTCTGTGGCCTGAGTCTGTGGCCTGAGTCTGTGACCTGAGTCTGTGACCTGAGTCTGTGGCCTGAGTCTGTGGCCTGAGTCTGTGACCTGAGTCTGTGGCCTGAGTCTGTGACCTGAGTCTGTGGCCTGAGTCTGTGACCTGAGTCTGTGGCCTGAGTCTGTGGCCTGAGTCTGTGACCTGAGTCTGTGGCCTGAGTCTGTGGGCTGAGACTGTGGCCTGAGTCTGTGGCCTGAGTCTGTGGCCTGAGTCTGTGACCTGAGTCTGTAGCCAGTCTGTGGCCTGAGTCTGTGGCCTGAGTCTGTGACCTGATTCTGTGGCCTGAGTCTGTGGCCTGAGTCTGTGACCTGAGTCTGTGACCTGAGTCTGTGGCCTGAGTCTGTGGCCTGAGTCTGTGACCTGAGTCTGTGACCTGAGTCTGTGGCCTGAGTCTGTGCCCTGAGTCTGTGGCCTGAGTCTGTGACCTGAGTCTGTGGCCTGAGTCTGTGGCCTGAGTCTGTGACCTGAGTCTGTGACCTGAGTCTGTGGCCTGAGTCTGTGGCCTGAGTCTGTGGCCTGAGTCTGTGACCTGAGTCTGTGGCCTGAGTCTGTGGCCTGAGTCTGTGGCCTGAGTCTGTGACCTTAGTATGTGGCCTGAGTCTGTGACCTGAGTCTGTGGCCTGAGTCTGTGGCCTGAGTCTGTGACTTGAGTCTGTGACCTGAGTCTGTGACCTGAGTCTGTGGCCTGAGTCTGTGGCCTGAGTCTGTAGCCAGTCTGTGGCCTGAGTCTGTGGCCTGAGTCTGTGACCTGAGTCTGTGACCTAAGTCTGTGGCCCGAGTCTGTGGCCCGAGTCTGTGACCTGAGTCTGTGACCTGAGTCTGTGGCCCGAGTCTGTGGCCTGAGTCTGTGACCTGAGTCTGTGGCCTGAGTCTGTGGCCTGAGTCTGTGGCCTGAGTCTGTGGCCTGAGTCTGTGACCTTAGTCTGTGACCTGAGTCTGTGACCTGAGTCTGTGGCCTGAGTCTGTGACCTGAGTATGTGACCTGAGTCTGTGGCCTGAGTCTGTGGCCTGAGTCTGTGAGTCTGTTGTGTGTATTGTTGTGTGTCTGCTGCAGGGATCTTCACAGCCCCAGTCAGAGGAGTGTACCATTTCCATGTTCATACTTTTGAATCCTTTGGTGGAAGTTACTTTTCAACAGTTTCTCTGATGAAGAATGGATCTAAGATGGTCATAGCTGAGGAGCACCACTCTTCAGGTCGCGGCTCAGCGTCCAACTCTGTGTCTGTGCTGCTGGAGGCGGGAGATGTGGTTTATGTGGTTCTCTGGAGCAGCAGACAGATTTACGACAACACTAATCACCACAACACGTTCAGTGGTCACCTGCTGTTCACCGTCTAACCTCTGACCTGTGACCTCTGACCTGTGACCTCTAACCTGTGACCTCTGACGTCTAACCTCTGACCTGTGACCTCTGACATCTAACCTCTGACCTGTGACCTCTGACCTGTGACCTCTGACGTCTAACCTCTGACCTGTGACCTCTGACAGCATTAAAGGCTCTGCTCTGTATTTTCTTTGTTTCATTCTTTGTTTGACTGAAACAGTTCCTGTCAATCAACTTTTATGACACATGTCGCCTCAGGGGGCGGGGCCAGGAGGGAGTACACAAATGCCGTTTTTCCACAGTCCGAGTACGGTACGTTTTGACTCTACACGGAGCGCCATGGCCCAGTTCGCGTGCTTTTCCATCAAAAATAGTACCCCAGTATCTCCTCAGCGTTGTCAGACCACGTCATTTACGTGTGACGCGTAACTAGTACTGGTGCGGTGCATGGATTTATTATAATATCAGAACAAGTGTTTATTAGAAAATTCAGCACGAGTAGTTTTTGAAAATGCTTATGTCTTAAAAGAATGACTCAGACACTGTGAAGTCAATGGTGCTGCTCTGTACAATCTGAATGGACCTGTAGCAACAGCAGCCTGTGTAGCAGAGGAGGAGGGCTGCATGTCCGAGGATACTGCTAGGCTAAAGCTAATGCTAGCGCTAGCTCGAGACTCTGCTCACTCACTAACCCTGGATTCCAAAGCTACTACTCTACTACACTTAAGTGTCTGTGGCCCGAGTCTGTGGCCTGAGTCTGTGACCTGAGTCTGTGGCCTGAGTCTGTGGCCTGAGTCTGTGACCTTAGTCTGTGGCCTGAGTCTGTGACCTGAGTATGTGACCTGAGTCTGTGGCCTGAGTCTGTGGCCTGAGTCTGTGGCCTGAGTCTGTGGCCTGAGTCTGTGACCTGAGTATGTGACCTGAGTCTGTGGCCTGAGTCTGTGGCCTGAGTCTGTGGCCTGAGTCTGTGACCTGAGTCTGTGACCTTAGTCTGTGACCTGAGTCTGTGGCCTGAGTCTGTGACCTGAGTCTGTGGCCTGAGTCTGTGACCTGAGTCTGTGACCTGAGTCTGTGACCTGAGTCTGTGACCTGAGTCTGTGACCTGAGTCTGTGACCTGAGTCTGTGGCCTGAGTCTGTGGCCTGAGTCTGTGACCTGAGTCTGTGGCCTGAGTCTGTGGCCTGAGTCTGTGACCTGAGTATGTGACCTGAGTCTGTGGCCTGAGTCTGTGGCCTGAGTCTGTGGCCTGAGTCTGTGACCTGAGTCTGTGGCCTGAGTCTGTGGCCTGAGTCTGTGGCCTGAGTCTGTGACCTGAGTATGTGGCCTGAGTCTGTGACCTGAGTCTGTGGCCTGAGTCTGTGGCCTGAGTCTGTGACCTGAGTCTGTGACCTGAGTCTGTGACCTGAGTCTGTGGCCTGAGTCTGTGGCCTGAGTCTGTAGCCAGTCTGTGGCCTGAGTCTGTGGCCTGAGTCTGTGGCCTGAGTCTGTGACCTGAGTCTGTGACCTGAGTCTGTGACCTGAGTCTGTGACCTGAGTCTGTAGCCTGAGTCTGTGGCCTGAGTCTGTGACCTGAGTCTGTGGCCTGAGTCTGTGACCTGAGTCTGTGGCCTGAGTCTGTGGCCTGAGTCTGTGGCCTGAGTCTGTGACCTGAGTCTGTGACCTGAGTCTGTGGCCTGAGTCTGTGGCCTGAGTCTGTGGCCTGAGTCTGTGGCCTGAGTCTGTGGCCTGAGTCTGTGGCCTGAGTCTGTGGCCTGAGTCTGTGACCTGAGTCTCAGTAATATTCAGAGTTGACACGTTGCTTGATCCACTTGTTGTAATTTCACATCAAAATACACCTGTTTATCTTTGAAGAATTCATTTGATCTGAACACAACATACAATATCTATTATACAGTAATATATTGTAATTAAAAATATAACTCATTTACACGAGATACATTTTCAGTCAAATCTTTTTATTTGCTTTAACCCCTGGTGTAATGTTGTGTGTACTGTTGTGTGTACTGTTGTGTGTACTGTTGTTTGTAATGTGTGTACTGTTGTGTATACTGTTGTGTGTACTATTGTGTGTAATGTTGTGTGTAATGTGTGCATTGTTGTGTGTAATGTTGTGTGTAATGTTGTGTGTATTGTTGTGTGTGCTGTTGTGTGTATGTTGTGTTTAATGTTGTGTAATGTGTGTATTGTGTGTTTATTGTTGTGTGTAATGTTGTGTGTATTGTTGTGTGTAATGTGTGCATTGTTGTGTGTAATGTGTGTATTGTGTTAAAGTTGTGTGTATTGTTGTGTGTAATATTGTGTGTATTGTTGTGTGTAATGTTGTGTGTAATGTGTGTATTGTTGTGTGTACTGTTGTGTTTAATGTTGTGTAATGTGTGCATTGTTGTGTGTGATGTGTGTATTGTGTTAAAGTTGTGTGTATTGTTGTGTGTCTGCTGCAGGGATCTTCACAGCCCCAGTCAGAGGAGTGTACCACTTCCATGTTCATACTTATGAATCCTTTGGTGGAAGTTACTATTCAACAGTTTCTCTGGTGAAGAATGGATCTAAGATGGTCATAGCTGAGGAGCACCACTCTTCAGGTCGCGGCTCAGCGTCCAACTCCATGTCTGTGCTGCTGGAGGCGGGAGATGTGGTTTATGTGGTTCTCTGGAGCAGCAGACAGATTTACGACAACACTAATCACCACAACACGTTCAGTGGTCACCTGCTGTTCACCGTCTAACCTCTGACCTGTGACCTCTGACCTGTGACCTCTAACCTGTGACCTCTGACGTCTAACCTCTGACCTGTGACCTCTGACATCTAACCTCTGACCTGTGACCTCTGACGTCTAACCTCTGACCTGTGACCTCTGACAGCATTAAAGGCTCTGCTCTGTATTTTCTTTGTTTCATTCTTTGTTTGACTGAAACAGTTCCTGTCAATCAACTTTTATGACACATGTCGCCTCAGGGGGCGGGGCCAGGAGGGAGTACACAAATGCCGTTTTTCCACAGTCCGAGTACGGTACGTTTTGACTCTACACGGAGCGCCATGGCCCAGTTCGCGTGCTTTTCCATCAAAAATAGTACCCCCAGTATGTCCTCAGCGTTGTCAGAGCACGTCATTTACGTGTGACGCGTAACTAGTACTGGTGCGGTGCATGGATTTATTATAATATCAGAACAAGTGTTTTATAGAAAATTCAGCACGAGTAGTTTTTGAAAATGCTTTTGTCTTAAAAGAATGACTCGGACACTGTGAAGTCAATGGTGCTGACTGCTCTGTACAATCTGAATGGACCTGTAGCAACAGCAGCCTGTGTAGCAGAGGAGGAGGGCTGCATGTCCGAGGATACGGCTAGGCTATAGCTAATGCTAGCGCTAGCTCGAGACTCTGCTCACTCACTAACCCTGGATTCCAAAGCTACTACTGTACTACACTTAACACATCTATCACTGCCCTCAGAGGAGGATCCGGGGTTTAGACTCGTCATATGGCAACTCGAGCAGTAAAGGACCGAGGGAGAGACAGCGGCAGCCATATGGGTAGCGAGTTAGCGGCTAAGCTAGGCTAAGCTAGGCTAGTCCGGACTCGGGTCCGGACTACAGCAGACTCCGAGACCAGACAAACAATCGATACCCAAACCTCAGCTACAATAATAATAAATGAATGAAACACAGTCTTGATACAATCACAGATTTATTGAAAACAAAAGTAAAGTGCAAAACCAACAGTTTACAAAGTCAAAAGTAAGTATGTCTGAGACCAGGTCCAGACCAGGTCCAGACCAGGTCCAGACCAGGTCCAGACCAGGTCCAGACCAGGTCCAGACCAGGTCCAGACCAGGTCCAGATGAGAATACTCCGGTCACTCATTACTCGTTGGTAATCTCCACACTTATGGGAAGGGATTCTCAAACAAATATACACACGACAACTTAAATACAAGCACAAAACAGACACATGTGAATACTGCAGATAAGAGATAAAGCACAGTAGCACAGGGAGGACGTTAGCTTAGCTGCTATCGATAGCTAAATGAAGCTAAATGTAGCTAGCTCACTGTGTACAACAGACAATCAAACATTTACAAGAGTAAATACATTTCAGTGAGAGCTTTAACGGGACACGAAGCAAACCAGTTGTTTCAGGATTACCACAGACTAGTCACAAATCCAGAGCTGGTGATCTCCTGAAAACTGTGTTGAGCCTCGAGCTGCCTTTGAATTCTTTCTTTGGCCTGAAGAGAGGAACGTGTGGACCTCTTCCACCGACCAGGACCAGGACTTTTGGGGCTTTCTGTGTGATTCCATTTCTCTGGAGTGAGGAGGACGTAATGTAGCCGAAGCAGAGCCGAGCAGAGCAGCCGGTTTTAAAGATGGCGGTTGAGTTGTTTTTCCCAAAGCGACGTGACGTCATGGCACCGGTACTATGGGGATGGAACCACGGCTGAGGCAGTACGGAAAAGTGCTCAAATCTCTGTTAGTAGAGTTGTTGGATTTTCATTAAAGTGAATTAGAATATATTCAAAGTTTAGATAGCTTTGGGTTAACCTACTGTGTGGTGGGATGGAGCATTCTCTCCCATCCCCCCGGGCTGCAGCTAACGATTATTTTTCTATCGATTAATCTATAGATTATTTTTTCGATTAATCGATTAATCTATAGATTATTTTTCCGATTAATCTATAGATTATTTTTCCTTTTACCGATTTATTTTTTCATTTAAAATGAAGGGGAAAAAATTGACGTAGGCCAGTATTTTCAAATGGCATGGCTTTTATTTAACCAAATAAAATTATGGCTCAATGGGCAACTCAGTAGCCTATAAAATGTGCAAATCAAAATATTCTGGAACACTCACTGTAAACATTTGAATAAAAGTATAGCTTATTTGCTTTAAAATGTGCAAAATAAAAAATAAATAACCAGCACAAAACAAAATGCAGATTAAAATATTCTGGAACACTCATTGTAAACATTTGAATAAAAGTAAAAGTATTGCTTTTAAAATAAACATCCAGTCCAACACACAATAACTAATTCCACTCATTCCAGTCTAACAGTTGTAATGAAGAAAGGTTAGCATGTCTACATGCTCTGGGGTGAGGCTGGTTCTTTTCTTGTTTACAATATTCCCAGCAGCTGAAAATAGTCGCTCAGAAGGGGTTGATGTGGCTGGAACAGAGAGGTAAAGACCGAGCCAGCATTGCCAGATTTGGAAACCTTGCCTCATTTTCTTTCCACCATTTTAATGGGTTTTCATCCTTGGAAATGGGGGATTCTCCGAAATAAGACAGTAACTCATTTCTGACCACTTCAGCATCATTATTGTCATTGTTGTCTTCCTCATTGTTGCTGAGTTCATCTGAATCTGAGCCAAGTAGTGTGTCTAGTAAAGATACAGGCCGCCTGTCAGCAACTGGTCTTTCCTCTTGTATTGCTGTGTCCTGTTGTTGAGTGTTTGTCTCATTTGCCCTTCTTTTCTCCTCCAGAATTATTGCTTTCAGCTTTTCTTGAACGTTTAAACATTCATCTGCAGTGAGGAATTTCAGCTTCCTGAATCGTGGGTCAAGTGCAGCTGCTAATATGCACACATTGACATTTGGTCCATCATCCTTGAATGTGGTCTCAGCTTCCCACCTGGATGTTATCTCATGTGCAGCAGTGACCTGAAAACACTTGACTGAAGCATTTTCAAAAGCAGTTTGTGTAGCCTTCCAAAGCCCTTTCACCAGCAGAGGTACAGTGGAAACTGTTACATAAGATTCTCCACTCAGGTACACAGTTGCACATTCAAAGGGTTTAAGAGCTTGTTAAAGTTCTTCGAGCAAACTCCACTGATCAGCCTTAAGATCCAGAAAACGCTTCCCTCTTTGAGTGACCTCTGGATCTGACAGAGTTGCTGTTATTGGCCACCTCTGCTCAAGCAGGCGACTAATCATGTAAAAGGAACTGTTCCATCTCACAGACACATCTTGTATGAGGCTGTGGTCAGGAGAACCCATTTGTTTTTGCTTAACCTTAAGTTTGGTACTGGCCAGCTCACTTTTTTTAAAGTGCTCCACCAAACTTCTTGCTGCTCCTAAAGCTCTGCTGATGTGGTTGTCCTTTAGAGCATGGTTAACTACAAGCTGTAGAGTATGGCCAGCACATCTGAGGGATGAAACACCATGTCTTTCCTCAAGAAGTCTTAAAGCTGCAACAACATTTGCAGCATTGTCATGCACGATGACTTGAACATGTTTTATGTTTATTTCAAACTTATTGACAACATCCTCAACCCAACAGGCAATATTTTGTGCAGTGTGTCTTTCCTGGAGGGGCATTGTTGTCAGGTTAATTGAGGTCAGCTCCCACTCATCATTAACAAAGTGAACGGTGACACCAAGGTAAGCTTCAGTGGCCATACTAGTCCATGCATCAGTTGTGAGTGTTAGTTTTCCTTTCACATTTTTCAAGATTGCCTTTACTTCCTCCATTTTTTTCATGTATTTTTGCTCCATAAGCTTAGTGAAGTGTGTTTTGGATGGTAATGTGTAGCCAGGGTGAAACCTTTTAATCATTTTTTTAAACCCTTCCCCATCTACCATATTTAATGGCCTCATGTCCACAACAATCATCTCCAGGACACCGTCAGTCAATTCAGCGGCCATTTGGGGTGTACATTCATCAGTCCCATGCCTCTTCGGGAAAAAATTCTGAACGCTGGTTTGTCGTTTGCTGCAACATAAGAGATAATATTTAATTTTTGATTTTAAATATACATGAAAATTAACTACAGCTTACTTTAATACAAAAGATGACTTAAACTACACACATTATATTGTTAAATTGATTTAATAACACAACAATGATTGTATGATTAAAGTTAATTGTTCGTTTGTACATACAGTAACTGTTAATGTTGTACAAAGGTAGTTTAGTTAGTTACACAACTAACGTAACGTTATGTAGCGATAGACACGCGCGTTTTTGACGCCTCTCAGAGCGAAACAGTGCTTTAGTTTATGAATTTACAACGCAGATACAAATAATACATGAATGTTTTTGTGTAATGAAAAATACTCACGCGGCCGATTGACTGGTTGATGGCGATGGCATGAACGCTGTCGGGTGTTTTCGTTTTAAATGTTCGTTCATAGCCGTTGTGCTGCTGTGGTAGGCCATTTCCGCTCGACACAGTGTGCATAAAACAACATTATTTGGCCGTTTCTGGAAATACTCCCACACTTTTGATGACTTTTGGCGTGCCTTTTTCCCCTCGCTCGCATCACCAGCATCGCGCGCCGCCATGATGTAAACAAGCGACGCGTCGGCGCACAAAAACTGCGTCGACGTATTTACGTAATTGATGACGTCGACTACGTCGACGCGTCGTTTCAGCCTTAGAGCAGAGTAAACAAAACAAGCATGAAAGAAGGAAACATCTGTGTTTAGACAAGAAGACACTTCTCCTGACTGATGAGAGGAGATTGGTTTTCTCACCTAGAGTTCGATAGGTCATATTGTCACCAAATGGTCACACGTGTTTCAAATTATCAGGGTATAAGACCAGAGCTCTTGGTCTATTCTTTGTCACTCTGCTGCTTTCCATCTAGCAGAGACCCAGACTGCAGTCTGT